GCATGCATGTACGTATGTATGCATGCTGGCATGCTTGCATGCACGAAGACATATGTCCGTGTGTGTTGAGCTGCATCTTGGTACATGCATGTCGAGAGGCTTTAAGCTTCCTGCCCCTCTGGAACCCACGGCGACAGCCCAAAACAACTCGAACCATCTCGCACCCTGGCCCAGACCTCACTCCCGAACCCCGGACTTACACCAAGAGGCACCAGCTCCGAATCTCTGAGCCCTAAGACTTCTAGCCGCCTGTGTCCGAGGGTGGGCAAATGAACGCCCATCCTGGTCCTGGGACTCCGGTGGGCAATGGTGCCTAGGCCTAGACTTCAGTGGACCTGAAAGGGAAGTCGTGTAAATATAGAGGCATCATGGGCTTCTAGTATATAGTTTTAGTATGCCGATGCTACAATATATTACTCCGTAGCCTATTCTCATTATGGCCACTTATGCTTGGAGATTCGGACCTTGGGCGTTGGGTTGCTTGACCTTGGTGAAGGGCATAGGTTCCTTGCATGGGACAGACCTAAGAGACTGAAAGCTTCATGGGGTCCTGTTTTTTTATTGTGGATTGGACATCCAGGCTTATCTCGCCATGCGGGCCTTATTTCTGTTGCCCATTTTGCTTCCACCCAACATGCTGAACCCCGGATTTTGCAGCCCCGCAGCCCCAGATCATAGGACGGCAGTCGCTTCGACGGACCATTTTTTTTGCACGAAAGCCCCCTCATTGGAAGAACCCTGAGCCCAATGGTCCCCAACGAGATAAGGCGACAGTGGCCGTCCACCACGTGGACCCAGGAGCTCTTGCACCAGCCGTAAGTTCGTTCTTTCATCTCTAGGGGATGGTTGTGAAGGGGTAGTTCTGGTAAGACTATTGGCTTGCTGGTGCCTGATGTATCCCGCAGGCTTTCTACTTAAAATACCTGAAGGAAGTTGAAATGAAACGTGGACCCCAACCCCGCGAAATCTCCGACACTTAGCCCGCAACTCCTGGGGCACTCTGCTCTCAGATGCATCCGATGCCCGGAAAAAACGCCAGATTGGCCTCGCAGAACGTTGCCCTAAGCCCAAGATCCAGCAGTCTGACCTGCAACCCTAAGGGTAGTTCTCAATATTTGGGTCCCTTTCAGGGTCCTTTT